AGGAAAGATGTTGTTAAACTTGAAAGGATGCAGAAAAGATTACAAGGACATTACCGAGGTTGGAGGGTTTGAGCTACAGGGAGAGGCTGAATAGGCTGGGGCTATTTTCCCTGGAGTGTTGGAGGTTGAGGGTTGACCTTATAGAGATTTATAAAATCATGAGGGGCATGGATAGGGTGAATAGCCAGGGTCTTTTCCCCAGGGTAGGGGAATCTAAAACTAGAGAGCATAGTTTTAAGGTGAAAGGGGAAAGATATAAACGGGACCCAAGGGACAACTTCTTCACACAAAGGGTGATGTGTGTATGGAATGAGCTGCCAGAGGAAGTGACGGAGGCTGGTACCATTACAACATTTAAAAGGCCTCTGGAAGGGAATATGAACAGGAAGGGTTTATAGGGATATGGGCCAAATGCTGGCAAATGGTTGGCATGGATGAGTTGGACCGAAGGGTCTGTTTGCATGCTGTATAATTCTGTGACTCTATGTCTCTATTAGCTTCCTACAAATAGCCTGCTTAATTATAATAAGCCTTAGCTATGCTATAAACATCCCAGATATTTTAAGGGTCCAGGATTCCACCATTTAAAATTTTACTTGTCCACTTAAGGAAGTGTATAAGATACTAGGGTAAATTTCAGTTTTAACAGAAAACATTAAATGAGCCAATTTACTAATTTTACAACATTATTAACAGAAATTAACAAGCATTACATTTTTAAGTGAATAAGTATACAACTGTGCCAAAAGCTATCAACAGATGTAATGCCAAATCTAACAGAATTCCATTTGATGGGAGTTATTTGTAATTGTAACAATTCAAGAAATCTAAGAACATCCAGGAATATCTAAAATTAGTTAAGAATAAAATACCTGCCAAAATCTAATAATAGAATATCCATCATCATTTAAAGTATTGTTTTACCTTGAAACCCCATACAAGTAAGATATTGTTTGCCAGTGAGAGAAAATATCAGCAAAGTATTATATTATCGTCCCTAATGCTTCTGAAATTTCAGTGGCAAGGTATTATTGTTATATTATCAGTACCTTTCCTGCTTTGCAAATGTGGGTGTTAACCCTCTATACAGGTTCCTCCCACTTTCATTTAACATTATTACTTAATAATTCCTTTATGAAGTTGTGAGCTTTTATCTAGTCAATTTATTTGTGGTGTTTTATATTCATATCTGGATGTTCCATTCATCTTTCCCTATTCCTACAATCTTAATGGAATCCTTATTAAGTGTTTATCAGTTAAAAATGTTTCATTTCTCTGTCTTTATGAGTGTTGACTTATTGTGGTTTCTTTTGGTAATTCATAGGATCCCTACAGTGTGGAAGCAGGCCACTCAGCCCATCCAGTCTGCACTGACCATCTGAAGGGCATTCCACCCAAAACCAATCCCCTATGCTATGCCTGTAACTCTGTATTTCCCATGGCTAATCCACCTAGCCTGCACATCCCAGGACATTACAGGAGAATTTAGCATGGTCGCTCCACCTAATCTGCACATCTTTGGATTATGGAAGGAAACCATAGCACCCAGAGGAAACCCACACAGACAGTCGCTTGAGGCTGGGATCAAACCCAGGTCCCTGGCACTATGAGCCACCGTGCTGCTCTGTTAATGTGATGAGGATAATGTGATTAGTTGGGTGGTTCCAATATTCCTCCTGTTAATTAACATTTTACTTTCACACTCTGACATAATGTTGCCTTATGCCTTTCCAAGCCTTCTTTTCAATGATTAAACTATTGTTTATACCTTCTTGTTGTCTATGCTAAGTACTATTTTAGTTAATACTGTAGTGATTGTAACGAGGTCAGCCAGCTGGACATCATAGAATATGAGTTTTCTGATTGGGACTGTTAACCTGGTACAATCAGGGAGCTCTGTCTAACTTATAAAAAAATGGTGAGTGTCAGCGATATTGACACCCTGGTGGCTGACTCTGTATGAGGCAGTACTAAAGTCAAGGACTGTTCATGCGTAAATAAAGGGTGACTTGGTGATAGGATACTGGCCTCTGTAGAGTTATTTCAAATATCATATGTGTTTCCAACCTAACTAGTTAGATCTTTTGATTTATCAAGCCTATATTTCTGAACAGTTGTTACACTTTGATGAAGTGTCACATCAAAGGTTATTGCAGAAAATAAAAACTCATGGTTAACATATTAACGTGGATAGAAGAATGGTTGGCTGGCAGAAAACAGAGTATGCAAAGATGCCTGATTGGCAGGATGTGGCCTTTTGAATCTTGCATCAGTCTGTGCTGGGGCCTCACCCTTTTACAATTTACATCAATTACTTTTGCGATAAATTTGCAGACAACACCAAGATGAATAGGAAAGAATGTTGTGAAGAAGACAAAAGGAAGTTGCAAACAGACGTAGATATGCTAAGTGAATGGGAAGAATCTGGCAGATGAAGTATAACATGGGAAAGTATGAAATTGTTCACTTTGGCAAAAAGAATGAAAAAGCCAAGTATTGTTTCAGTGGAGAATGATTGCGAATTCAAAGGTGCAGAGGGATTTAGGTGTTTCAAGGCATGAATCACATAGTGTCAATGTTTAGGTATAATGAATAACGAAGAATGTTAATGTGTTGCTATTTCTTTATTATGAGACAAATTAAAAATAAAAAAAAATGTCATGCTTCAATTTTGTAGGGCGTTGGTGAGACTACATGATGTGTAGTTTTGGTTTCCTTATTTAGGGAAGAATGTGAATGCCTTGGAAACAATTTTGATAAAGGTTTTCTAGAATGATTCCTGAAATTTGCAAGTTGTTGTATGAGGATAGATTGGACAGGCTGAGCTCATTTTCACAGGAGTTTAGAAGAGTGAGGGGTGATTGATTGTAGTGTATATGATCCTGAATGGTTTTGACAAGGTGGACATGGAAAAGATGTTTCCTCTTGTGGGTCAGTCCAAATCTACCAGTACAGTTTTAAGTTTTAGGACATCATCCTTTTAGGACAGAAATAAGGGGATTTTTCTTTCTCTCAGAAGGTTGTGCAACTCTCTGCTTCAGAAGATGGTTATTAAATATTTCCATATCAGAGGTGGGTTTATTCTTGTTGGGCGGGAGAATAGAGATTTATTGGGTTAGATGAGAATGTAGGATTTGAAACTCAAACAGATTAGCCATGATTCTGTTGGCAGAAATGTAAAAGGAAAGCTTTTTTTATTTATTTTCTCTAATTTTTTTTGTACCTAAGATTTGTACCCAGGTACTTTGTTCCTAAGATGTGCCATGTGTTGGAAACATTGTACACTTTTCACTGTTCTCCTGTACTTTTGTAACTTGAGTACACATGATGAGAAATCTAATTTAAAATTCTAAATTCTAAAGCAGTCTGGAGGGGTTGAAAGACTTATTTCTGCTCCTATTTTGTATGTTTGTATGTATCTGAATGTAAAACACTGATTTGTCTGAACAGAGCTCTGCACAAGTCTAACTCTTTCCTAACTAGCACCATGAATTTCTTTCTTTCAGATTTTCCTGAATTGTATCTGTTTCATGTCTCAGTCAAGACATGGTACCTCCAAGAACATGGTCCAGCTCATCATTAGAACTCCGCGACATTCTCAAAGTTGTGGGGAGGGGGTGTGGTTGAACTGGCACAAGTTTCTGCCTGAGAGATATGAGAGCCAAACTGGTACCTGTGCAGATGTATACGCCAACAGAAAAGACTACATCCAGCTTGCTCAAACATTGAGAGTTGTTTGGCAAGCGAAGAATCGATTTTTTTTATGGATTCATGGGAAGTGAGCATCCTTGGCTGAGCCAGCATTTGTTGACCATCCCTAGATGCCATTGAGAAGGGGGTGGTGCTGCTGCCTTTTTGAACTACCACACCCATTTGATGTATGTAAACCCACAATACTATTAAGAAAGAAGTTCGAGGATTTAGACCCAGCAACACTGAAGGAATGCTGGTTGCTTTCAAACCAAAACTGTCCGCCAATGGTAAATGTTTTTAGCTGCTAAGATACAAAGTACAAGTAACTTTAGTTATCAATTTTGAGATCTGACTTTTGTTACGTGATAAAGTATAAGATTGGCACTGAATTATTTTTACAATCAGCCAATTAGATCAGGATTTCTATCCATTAGAGTGAATAAATCAAAAATACGCGTCACGTTTGTGTAAAGGAACACCAATGACAAATTCCTACTTATAACAAAACAAAATAGAAATATGAAAGGGTAAGTTTGATTACTGTCTCTCTTGAACATTGGCTGTCACAGTGGAATGGACAGATATGTTTGAGTCGTTAAATTGCTGCACACTGCAGAACACTGGAAATAAATTCCAGCTTCTGCTGAACGTCCCGTGCCCAATGTAGGTAAAGAATAATCATGATTCGTGCAAATGCTGATCACTGCAGTACACAGTGGAATTAAACTGTAAAGAATAAGTTTGATTCCTGTAGCTGAGCACTGGAGAACATTGTGGAATTAAAAGATAATTCTGATTCCTGCTGCTGAACACTGGAATACACAGAGGAATTAAAGCATAAGTTTGAGTCCTTCAGCTGATAAACACTGAACTGTACAGTGCAATGGGAGGGTAAGTGTGACCCCCTGTGTTTGCTGAGCTCTCAGCGCCCGGTGCAATGAGAGGGTAAGTGTGACCCCCCCCTGTGTTTGCTGAGCTCTCAGTGCCCGGTGCAATGAGAGAGTAAGTGTGACCCCCCCTGTGTTTGCTGAGCTCTCAGTGCCCGGTGCAATGAGAGGGTAAGTGTGACCTCCCCCTGTGTTTGCTGAGCTCTCAGTGCCC